CTGAATGTCTGTGCAACAGCAGGAATACATCAATTGCAAGCCCCATCCCTCCCCAAATTTGCAAATCTCAACTGGGGAATCTGGAAAACAAGTGAAAAACCAGGTTGTCTGGACTTATAATGGTGAAATAATGTTTTCTTGGGAAATTCTTGGCCATTCTCCAGGTTAGTAGCAAGCAATTAGCTTCTCAAGATGGTGAAGTTTCAGCTCTCCTCGTTGAAAACCAGTTGCAGAAGGTGACAGAACAATTGCACTGTGACCTCTGTTATTATTTATGGATACAGCGTGACAAGCAGTAGCTTCAGGTTACTATATTGAAAGTATCAGAGATTAACTAGTTTCTCAAGGTGGTGGAAAATGTTGCTGCAAATCTGAAACAGCAGGCTTTGATGTTTGTGAGTCAGCTGATGTCACAGATGATACTCAGATGTTTTGCAGTTCCGTTAAGATTTCAAGACCTATCCAACAACTGATGGGTGACAATCTAAATAACAGCACTTTTTGAACACTCGGTCCCACAGCATCTAGTGTAATCCAGTAAACTCTTAGTATAACATCTGTTAACTTATATTTTCTCCTGGTGCCAAGCTTGTGTTTTGGAAGGAAGCACAGAGCAGAATGACTGGGTAGGATGAAGTTCTGAGATCACTTCAGGAAAGAGCTTCAGCTGTCATCGCAGCAGTATGTTGAATAATTGGGTTTAGCAAGTATACAGTGCTAACTCACTCTACAAAATGATGGCCAGTACAAAGGATACTTTTAGACCAATCAACAAAAAGGACATGCTATCCAAAAAAACTTTGCTTAGGTGCTGGGATAGATGAAGTTATACAACTCATGAATACATACATACAATTCATAAAATAAACTTCAGCTGAACAGAGCAAGGTTGCAACTTCCGTAAACAACGAAACATTTGTAGATGGGGTGAAAATCTGGTGCAGAGAACCTCTCCCCAAGAAGAACCTGTTTCACTTAGAACAACAGGTGATTCTGGTAGACACTGTTAGTAAGTATTTATCAATACTGGGGAAAGCAGTCACATTCAGATAAATGACTGACTTCAAAACACTGGTCAGTGTTTTGAGATCATAATACAAATAGACTTGTGTCAGTTGAACTACTACTGTTAGGATTGAGCTATGACAATGACTGTGACCTTACATCTTAATTTTATTACGACTTGCACAGAAAACACTTCTCCAGGATATTCCATCCATCCCTACTGGAGATCAGTTCATCATGTGATAGATTACATGATCACATGCAACTAGTGCTGACAAAACATGCTGTGCTTGCCTTTTGGAACAGGGAAGGGGAAGTGTAGAGCAAATAAACTTTTAAGAGAATGAGTGAACAAACAATTTTTCATGTGCTTGAAAGAACCATTTTAAAGTCCATGTATAGAGTGGCAGATGAATCATTTTAACTGCCACAGCAGTAGGAAACACACAGAATGGCCTGTGGTTACTCGTCCCTTTATGCTCTTTAACTTTTCTGGTTAGCTGACCAGAACACACTATTCAATATGTTCTCTCATACATAGTATTTGACAGTACATCTCAAAGGACTAAATTCTCAAAGGACTACAATGTATTCTAGAATACTTTCCTTTTATTTCAGTTATGTTTCCCTATTCCCTAAGGAAATTGATTTTTGTGTGAATTTGTATTACATCCCCTTATTTTGACGAAAGAATGTACATTTTTGTATCTGCCAACAACAGGAAGTTGAAAAATTAATTAAACTCTTTATGTTCAAGAACAGAGGCGGGTAAGCACAAGTCCTATTTTGCTTCTAAGAGAGATCTTGGAAAACTCCCATCTCTGGGGTAACACTGACATCTAGCAAGTGAAAAAACAGGTATTTAGCTTCATTAATTTATTTTAGGAGATAGAATGACTAATATCTACAAGAGTAATAGAAGATTACTGTTAGGTGTGCGTCAGGTGTAATTCTGGCAGTTTGGTTTTCTCCCAAGAGGCATCCCACAAACTTTGGTTCCATGTGGCTCCATCCCTCTTTCAAGGCCCCATGATAAATTAAGAGATGGAGAACAGAATTATATCTTCACAAGTCCACGAACGAGTTCCATATCGAATAACCTGGGATTTCTCCAATGCAGAAATTTACCTTAAATTAATGAGCATGCTAATTAGGGAATTACAATTCCCATTATTTAAAAAATAGACAGGTTCCAATAAAGGAGGAATGTATCTTCTGCATCTTTATTGAACTACTTTGTTTTAAAAAACAGAATTAGAACGCAAAATGCACTTCAAAGCTTCTCAAACAGTCATTCAAGTGCCATTTCTTATTCTTAAGGCACTATAATGAATCAAGTCTTTTATGTAGAGAATTATAAGTAATAATAAAACCATATTGCTTTAAGAGTTAAAGATAGAGCCAATATAGATAGTCAACTGATAGAACACCAGACAGCTGTAGCAAGACTTACAGTGTATACAGTGTTCCCCAGGAGCAGGTAGTCTGAAGTTTTACCATTGCCGAATACGGTACCTGGAGAAGGAAACAGTGATAAAAATAAAAACATTTAAACACTTAAATATCCACAATAGTGATGTGTGTATACACATATATATCTAAAAAAAAATATATTTTTGTACGAAAGAGATGGTAGTGCTTCCTACAGGGTACTACCAGCAGATTTCACCATGAACTGTATTGAACATTAGAGATCTATGACTTTTATAATTTTTACTCCTTTAAAACTTTCAGTGATTTCAGGAATTACGCTAGAAACAGGAGCTTCTAACATCGTATACCAATATGAGTAATACTGTATTCACTAATAATTCAATTAGAGTGACTTCTAAGTTCACAGATACAGTATCTTACCTTCAGAAAAGTATGAAATATAATAGCAATAGCACACATTGATTGTAACATAGAAGTAAACAGAAAGCTGAGAGTCAGATTTTCACTGATTCTGGGTATTTTTGGTATAGAAAATTATCGTTGCTCTTATTCAATTTCTGAGATTCAGTTTAAGTAAAAATACAAAATACACTGCTTTTTAGTTCTTGAAATGCTTGTTATTCATAACATTTTCAAAATTTACCCAACTCAGATCTCTGGATTCTTATAAATACATATCCATTTTGCATATATGGATACACACAGAGCATTTATGTAAAGAGTCAATACCCTAGAGAGATGTGTTTGCAAAATAAATAAATAAACAAACAAACAAACAAACAAACAAATAAATAAAATCTACTGTGGTTCTTAAGTTCAGAATTCTGAAGCAGTGCATTTATGCTTGTTTAACAGAACTTATTTTATGACTATTGCTAGAGCATGGGCTTTTCTGATCCCAGTTCTGTGAACATTCTTGGCAGACGTGGGACAACACACAACTGAACCATCTAGAGGGAATTCCTCATTCTCAATTAGAAATATTGAACTCGCTAAATTTTCGTATGTTCAGTTTAGAAACGCTTTTAGCATTTTAGATTGTTTATATGCTGCAACTAAACCAGAACATTCACTCTGCTGTAGAGGTCCTACTTACTGGGATATTGCTTTTTACTGCTATCATATAGAGATACCATGTAGTAAGGAAGGATAAAAGTACAAGAAAAAAAGAAAAAAGGGAAAATAAACCCCACTAATGCTGAATGAGCACAAGGAAGGAAGTTTTTAAAGAGCTGTATTGAGGGGAAGATAAGAATAAAGGTGTTTGGGTGTTTGTTTTTTTTTTTTGGGCAGTAGGTGTGAGTTTAAAAATCCTCTGGTTGGGTTCGTCAGAGTAAGGTGACAACATGATAAAAATAGTCTGTAGCTGAAAACACTTATTTTACCACTGTCCTCAGCTAGCATATGGTATATTAAATGCTGCTAATTAAGTATGTTTTCATATTTGTGTTGAGTGTTTTTTCCAGCCCCCATATCACCTTTAACACATGCTTGAAATGAAATTCATTTTAGTCATGGATGAAGAGTGCTCCTTTCTCAAAGCTTTTCAGGATCTGAGAGACCAGTTTATCACAGAAAAGAAAAAAAACCCCAACCTATTTATTGACATTCTGGAAGAGACAGCAGGTGAAAGTCCACACAAAACAATTACAATAAAAATGCTTGCAAATAGTCCTCCTTAACCTAGCCCTCTCCCATTCCAAGATGAGGAGCTCACAGTAGCTGCCTCCTTAGCTCTAGTGATACTGGTTCGTTCCTGGCACTTCCCTGACTTCACTTTCTCCCTGGACACGCTAGCATACCATGAAGGACTACAAGAGCTCTGGAAGCCTGAAAACAAAGCTGAGACCATGACTCATTTTAAAGGTTATACAAAAGAGGGAGCAGTCGGTGGATTTGCTTGGACATACATGTTTGGCTTCTGCCATTAGCTGTTATGTCGACAAAGTTGCATCAGAAGAAGTTTCTGTGAAGCCCTATGTCCTTGTCACTTTTCATACCCACATGGAGTACATGGAGTGCAAAGACTCTAGTTTTGTCTACTATACAATGGTTAGGTCTCATGGAACAAATTCTGACAGAGTTCTTACAAATCCACACCTATTCTCTGATTTTTCTTGGTAGACTCTACTACAATGCATGCAGTTTGAAATTTTCCACTTACAGACAAGAATGAAGTGGACAAGTGAGACTCAAGAGTAAACAGGGTAAAACGCTAAAGGAAAAGAGCATTCTTTCAAATGAAGCATGACCGCAGGCCGAGGGAGGTGGTTCTGCCCCTCTAATCTGCTCTGGTTAGACCCCACCTGCAGTACCACCAGCTTTGGAGCCCTCAGCACAGGCAAGACATGGATCTGTTGGAGCAGGTCCAAAGGAGGGCCACAAAAATGATCAGAGGGATGGAACACCTCTCCTGTGAGGACAGGCTGAGAGAGTTGGGGCTGTTCAGCCTGGAGAAGAGAAGGCTCCAGGGAGACCTTTATATGAGCCTTCCAGTACCTGAAGGGGGCCTACAAGAAAGCTGGAGAGGCACTTTTCACAAGGGCATGTAGGGATAGGACAAGGGGTAATGGGTTTAAACTGTAAGAGGGTAGATTGATATTAGATATAAGGAAGAAATTATTCACCAAGAGGGTGGTGAGGCACTGGAACAGGCTGCCCAGAAAAGCTGTGGATGCCCCATCCCTCGAAGTGTTCAAGGCCATGTTGGATGGGGCTTCGAGGCAACCTGGTCTAGTGGAAGGTGTCCCTGCCCATGGCATGGGGGTTGGAACTATCTTTAGGATAGATCTTTAGGATCCCTTCCAACCCAAACCATTCTATGATTCTGTGAAAAGGAAAACTGTGAGCTCTGAGTGATTTTCATGATTTTCAAGATTTGTTTTTCAGTGTTTTACTAAATACCTGCTCAAACATGCACTCCACTGATTAACAATATATACCTAGCAGTAAAGAGCATAATGAGGATAAAACAGAGGAATAGGCAGGCAGCTAAGTCTGTTCCTATTAGTCAGAGTGCTGGGACCCAGCACTCATGCACTTGTACGCACAAAGCTGAGCTATCCCCCATTCTTCCCCTTCCTCCTTTCACATCTCAGTATCCTCCTGTGCCTCTTTGCTAAGAGAAGGTGGAAGCTGAGACCTGTTCTCAGAAGTTTCTCTCTTTGGTGGATCTCTGTCACTCATCAGCTCCTCCCTAGGAAACTAACAGCATTATTTCCCTTCCCTCTTTACACACACAGCAGCTCCTGTCCTGCGCTCATCTCCCCTTCATGCAGAACTCTGTGCACCAACTGGACCCATGGCAGGTACTGGTTACACCGCCCACCATGTACATGATCCCCAGGTCCCATTTCTGCTCCCTTTGCTCACCTGGCCTTTCTCTAGGAATGGAAGAGGAACACAGAAGACAATTTGTTCAGACTTACAGAGGCTACTTGCCAGCAGGTCAGTTCTAGCCCAGGGGCTGTGAGCCAAAGAGGCCTGCACTACAGTGCTCTCAAGTGCTCATGCCGGTATCTCAGCTTTGCTATTCACACATGAACTCTATTCTGCTTCACCACATATATTCATTAAACATTTCTCCATCATGTAATGCATAAATCTCTCAGACTGGCTACAGCTTTGAATGGGGATTTTGGTTTTGATTTGAGGTTGTGGTTTTAGAGTATGCATTGACATTTTGGTACCTTTTTCCTCCTGGGCTGTCTAAATGTCTCCAATGCAAACTGCTGCCACTGAACTGGTGTCCAGTGGCCTTTCAGAGAAAACAGGTCACTACCTACTTTCCTTTATCCATCAGAAGTCACTGAGTACAAAATAACTCTGCAAGAAGTCTTCTCCACAGCCTTTTTGGGCACAAGCAACCGTGTCTCACTATCTAGTCTCAACAGTTTCAAAATGTCCATGGGAATATTTCTGTTCTCTGTGCCAGGGCAGACAGCCTGTCTATGCCAGGGAAACTAAGACAACTACTAATTTTACAGAAAAGCTGCAGGGTACACACTTTTTTTTTTCCCCCTCTCCACAAAGTGAAAGCAAAACGAAACCCCACCCCTATGAAAGCTCCCATACACACAAACATTCCCACAAACTGGAAGCAGTGCTTTCAGGTTTCCTCTAATTAATACAGCTTTCCTCCCAACTGTCCTGTTTCTTTCTGCAACTCGGGAGCACATACAACAGTTGAACTAGAAGAGTGACAGGACTGAGCTGTCCAAGATGGCTGAGTTTCCTCCGTCACAAGTCTACTCATATGGATGTAAACTAACGGGGTTCGTATGCCCTTGAAATAACAGGACAGGTATACACATCAGCAATAAAAACTTACAAATTGTAAGAGACAGTGCAAGGGACAGTAGTGATTTAGGATCTTGTAGGTCTTTACCATGGCAGCATATTATATAAAAAATCAGCATAATTAAATAGCAATCTCTTTTTCTCCATCTTGTTTCCGTTTACTTAAAACCTATTTATATAGTTTTATGTGTATGTATATAATATTACTCCTACTTTTAAACAGATTTTAAATAAAACATTTACGATATACTGCATCTGCTCTAGTTCTAGAAATGGTATCTTGAAATTTAATCACACAAACCTCTTACTATTTATAAGGCTTTCCTATGAAAAATAAGGTATTTAGGTATTTCATACCTTCCAACATTTATATTTTTATTTTTCATAATACTTACCATGCTGGAGGGCTTTTAGTGGAAACCAAAACAGAATGAATGAGTGGAAGAGGCCATTTAAACAATGGACCCAGAAAACCTAAGGGAAAACAGAAAATCCATGAGAACCATTTGCAAAAAACTAGCTCTGTGAACCCTGACCTTTCTTTTTATCTGTGTGTTAGATTCACAAAATGTGTTTCTGTCAGGCCACCACTGTGAAGTAATATAACTGACAGGCACTTTCTGCCTCCTAGCTCTTCATGGGTCATTTGTTTATTTTTATGTTTTGAAAAAGTGTATATTATCTGCTCCTTTTAATTTCAAATCAGAAAGGAAATTAAAATGTATATATGGGAATATCACCAGAAAAATTAAACTAAACCGGAGAACGGGAACAAGTGCTACATTCTAAGTAGGGAATTAAAAAGGACTCTAGCTTTTATAATTTACATTTTATGTAATGAATTTGGATAGTAGAACAATCAAAACCCAAGTTTTACATATACTACATATTTCCACATACAAAGGAATTAAAAAAGGACATATAAAAGTATTTTCCTTAGATTTCTCCTTACATGCTCCATTCTTGAAGTGCATAGCTTCCTCATATTAAACTTCCATTACTGTATTTGCTAAATAATTCTAATTTTATTTTCAAACTTATTTTAAGTTGTAAAATATGACTTCTGAAAAGAACTGTATTATGTTTAAAGATAAACAACCTATTGATGCTTTCTATAATATGTTGTATAAAGACATAAAAAGATTTAATCAAAAATATGTAACCCATTTCCTTCAGGATAGCAATCATGTTTTTTCATTAACAACTCTTTTGACAATCATAGCCTTTATTGTAACTAACTGATGTGCATTATGAGTGTTAAGGTGTTCAAAGAATTGAAATTAAGTTGCCTGCCTCACAACATTTTCCACAATGTCTCAAAGTCTTTTGTTAGATTATACAGCTACACTAGGTTGTATGATCCAATTTACACTCCAATACTTTGCACATTTGAACTTGTGCTACTCATTAACCTTTGTCGCTCCTTCTTGCTATGGCATTACTAGAAGTTTTTATTTGACAGAAAGCACAGGTGGGTGCAAGAAAAATTAGTTCTACTTTTCCATTTTCCTAACCAATTCTTATTGTCATGTGCTAATCCTTTAACCTCTGTTGTGACCTCCTAACCTTTGATCCCTTTTACCATAACAAACATCTGCATCAACATTCAAGGCAGTAATGTTTCCAAATCTTTAACACCGACTATTCAACTTATACAGATGGGAATTTTGTAGTTGGGAAGTCTGTAGACACTCATAGCAAGGTTTGTATGGGAGTAGCCACAGAATTTCCAATGAAGTCAATAATACAGCTGTACAATAATAAAAATAATATAGACTTATTAAAAAACAGAAAAAGCCAACAATTGTAACTCATTACTTACATTATTGATTAAAAGTATCACAACACAAAAGCGTCTGTATTAATGGACCATGAAAAGTCTGATATTTGTAAAGCATTCAGTGACAGAAGAAACTATTTTCCTTAGTTTCCTGACAAGTTTCAGGATTGTTTTTGTGGGTGAAGGGATGAAGTGAGGAAGGAGAAAAATCTTACACAATTCCGTGAACAAATATAGTTTAGACAAATAATTCTATACAGATAGGGTACGCCATTTTTACAGCACAAGTGGCACACGTATGAGAGCTAATTATACTATATCAGCTCTGCACAGCTACTACAGACCATCACATGTAGGCATTATTAATTCAATGACAGATTGAAAATGTCCCAAAGTTCAACATACAATGGCATTACTTGAAGTGTCCAAATAATATTTAGAAAAATCAAATAAAATCAGAAGGAACTCTTACAAACATCACAGCATTCAGGAAATTGCAGATTCAGGAAAAAGTTTCATTGATTTTTTTTTTTTTTTTTAAGAGATTGCTTATGGACAAATCTGTAAAAATTGCATATATTTGATATATTAGAGTCCTACATTCTTTTATTAATTCTTGTGCATCTCTCCAAGATGAGTTTCGCCCATTTCCCACCAAAATGAGCCTCAGGTTCCTTTTGATCAACCCTGATACATTCTTAACTCTCTCCAAGTATTTTTTCCCCAAACTCAAAATTAAACCATAAAATCACATCTCCAAATTGACAAAGAATAATACCAAGTCCCTCCCTCTACAAATATAATGACAGTTCTTATTGTCCTCTGCAACACTTCTCCACAGGCTTCAGTAATCCATTTCCATATAACAGTACAAATACATACAGCCTAACGACAGAGAGGTCTAATCACTTCTACCTATAGAAGACAGCTTTATTACCAGCAGAGAAAAAAGAAGAAAACAATCAAGGCTGAAAAAAATAAAATGTTTGCTGTACATTTCTGTACTTGCTAAAAATAGATAAACATGATTTGCACCATTCACAAACAAGTGGACAACTGGAAATAGTAGTAATAAAAATCCCTTCCATTTTTAATTATGAGCAGCATAGAACAAAAAGGATAACTATATTGAATTCCTCTTAATTTCTACTTTAATTATAATTGATTTTTTTAAATCTACCTTAGTATTGAAGTCCAGTGCATTTTGGGAAGTCTTGTATAACTCAGGATATTTCAGCATGTTTTCTTTTCGGCAGGATCTCTCAAATATTCCAAGAGTTAGTGGAGGCATTGCTGTAAACATCTAGGAGATGGATTAAAAAACCAACATATTGCAAAATTTTAGAGGTGAGGCCTTGCTTAAAGATAGCTTACTCAAGAAACTTTTATGATTATGGTTGAAAATAACTGAAAACACACAAATATCTTACCACATTGTAAAGACCTATACACCATCTTTCAAAAAGAATTTGTCCAGAAAAGCCATTGACAAATGCAAACCAGATCTGAAAAAAGGGCAGAATCATATATTATTCCAATGTCTTGCAAGATGTGATAAATAGATTTTTCCTCAGTTTCACAAAAAGGGGTACCCCTAGAACACATTTATAACACAGTTGTAAATGTTCTGGTTTAAACCTATATAAAAAAACCAAACCCAAACCTAACTTGCATTAAAGAACAGATAATGGGCAATCTAGTCAAATATGTGAGCAATTCCATCTAAATATGAAAACATTTCAAGAAGGTAGCTATTTTCTGAAGAAATGTCAAGTTCTTTAAGTATTTAAGAGTGATTTAAGCTCACTGCATTTGTATTGTACTTAATTCTTAACGAAATAAAACTTCTAAGAAATACGAGATGAGGGGGAAGGGAGCTCACAGATTAGAAGCAGTCATCTTCTCATCATTAGCAAACCTCCAGGCTAGCAGAATTCATACAGTAAGCTGCAGTTTGAAACTGAAAACTGCACCGATATACCTTACTCATACATGAAACCCATGAGAGGATGAAGCTTTACCAGAGCACTAAATCAGCTACAACTACTTAGTTAACAAGCACTAACTCAGCTACAGGATATTGTAGACAAGCAACCAGGTATCTCTTTCATTGCATAAGTTTTATCACTTTTTGCTAAAACATTTAAAAAATAATTAAAATTTAATTTGAAAGGCATGGTAACACACTATGTTTTTCAGTATAGCATGCAGCATGACTACTTTCTTCTATTTCTTCATGCTTATATTAGTTCAATGACAAAGTAGGGAAGCAACATGTCTGATGAATCTTTATTAACAAGTTACACTGAAACTATATTGCCTATGACAAACATAAGCTGCAAGGAGATGGAAGTTAGGATCACCTAAACATTCTACTCATTTTAAGACTCATGTTTTTCACGTGAATTTTTAGATGTTGCTTTGCGGAGTCTCTCCTACAAGTCACATTCTATTTAACTTTATTACGGAAGCACGAATTGGTACAATCAGATGTATGTTTATCAATACGTACCCAGGGTGGCCTCCAGGTGACCAGATTCTATGATCAAGCTCAGATTTTTTTATCATGTGGTGGAGTGTTTGAACATGTTTGTGAATATTTTGATATGGAAAAAACCTGAAATTAGCTACTATTAACACTAAAAATGGGAGGTAAATCCACTCAAAATTGCTATTTGCTCTATCAATACATGAAAAGTACAAAGTTTTTTTTGGTGGCCAATTATTGGAACAAGATTGCATCCAAAGTCACGAATGTTAGAGGCTGCAATACAGAGACCTAGAATACACTGAATTTTCTGAAGTTTTATAATGCTGTATTTCTTTGCTTGATTTAACAGTAACAAGCACTACTTTCTAACCTTTCAGTCTATTCACTGAAAAGACAATGGAATTACTTTATGCCAGTTGAATCAGATTTTTATAAGCTCTTGTATATTTTGATTTTTGACTTTTGAAAGAGGACTTTTCATTTAACTGTGATGAATTTAGCAGACATTTATTAGCAGCAGTTTCTCAGCAGCTGAATATGAGGGAGTGAGATGAGTGCATAATCAGTTGTTCATTACTGAACAATTAGTTATGTACTCAACATCAGCACAATTTTTGGATGCTTTACAACTAAGCTAAATGTGTGAACCTAATCTAGAACCTCATCACCACTGTTGGATGCAAGTTGTGCTCCTCAACTGCCTCCTCTCTTTTCAACCTTCTCATTATACATAGTTCCTACATTCTTTTACTCCCAATCTAGGAAGACAGCTAGGAAGACAGTTCTTGAGAGAGGAATGAAGGACAGCTATTATTATGTGATTGACCCATTAATTTTTTTTTCTTGTTTGTATCAAGTACTGGAGTAAATTTTAGAATTCTTAATCTGAAAAGATTTAGGGTGGTGGAAAAGGACAGTTTTAATAAAAAGTATGTGGCTCAGTAGTTGGGCACGTGTCCATTTACATATGTGTACATCTCATTGATGTTCATTTCAGAGAGAGTTTAACAAAAGTACTACTCCCTAGGTAGAAAATAAAACAGACCACAAGTAGACATATACTTGACCCTTCATAACCAAGGAATATATGGAAAGAACATTAACTTTCTGTGGCGATTTATTTAACAGTCAAAGTGTTATAGAATTTTAATATAAAAAGAGAGACCTAAATACATGTACTGAATTTATTCCACATATTCACTTCTATTAAAGGTAAGTGATGCTAAGCTACAGTTTACATGTTTTGCAGCGACTGTTTTAAAGAAATACAAGAAATTTCAATGACTGTGATAATATGAAGTCACTACCAAGCCTCTCAGAAATGATATGCATAATTTTATTCCTGAAAAACCCTGATGCTTTGTTTTATTTTCTACAGAATTTAAGTTAAAATTTTCAAGCTATTTAAACTCTGAAAACTACAGTTTTACTGTAGAATTGTAAAGCAATCCTTTAAGTTATAATAGTAACTTCCTGAAATCTTAGCATTTACTTTCTTCCAAAGCAAGCATGCAAGGTAGAGGCATTTCAGTTAAGTTTTAGTGTAGTAAGGAACTGGAACAAATCTTGGTCAGAACTCTAGATGCAAGACAATAAGTAGTGAAATTTGGTAGCACCCCTAGGTTCTAAAGCTCTTGTTGAATCTATGAAAAAAAGAATGGCTGGGAAGAGAAACCTCTTAATGTCACTAAATACATATTTAGTAGAATACCAGACATACTACTTTAAGAGACAGAGCATCTTTAATACCTAAGCAGAAACATGAATTTTCTATTGTTTACAAGATATTATTTGAATGTTCACATTAAGAACACCTATGACTCAAAAATAATTAGCATATCTGGGCGGAGTGTGGTGGTGATCAACCCTGATACATTCCACCACAAAGTGGAAGCAACAAGGATAAATACAGTCCCCATCTCAATCTGTAAGAGGGGAAGAAAGAAGTCATCCACTTACCCTAACTTCTGAACCTTGGATCCAGAAAATTACACTCTTAACCATACAGGAAAAAACCTCTACGGAGCTTACTACAGTATTAATAGTGACTAGTGACAAGAAACACACAGTTTCTTGCTTCACTGGTGGGAAGTGGCAAATTTATTCATGGACAAGCATGTTTCATTCAAATTATGATGGACAATGAAGGCAGCTATACCTGCAAAGTAATACTTTATGACATATTGTACATGATACTAATGTAGGAGCAGATTCAGCCTCTTCTTTCCTAGGGGGAAGGTCCTACTCTAACACTTTAAATTACTAATCCAGCACCCCTGTACAGGAAGGACAGGAGATCAGTGTCCTTGAGAAGGAATTTCGACTATGTAAGTGAGGGAGAAGTGAAAATTCAGACCATTTTATAGTTCAATTGCTACAGAATTTCCATTGACAATGAAAGGTTCACAGCCCATCTAAAATGGGATGGGCCTCAATGCAGATCCCTGTATTTCTACATTTTCAAACCATATAATGAAAAAAAGTGGGCATGAGCACAATCACTTTCTGCTGTCCGTGTGTTAAACTGAACTCGGTGCAGTTTGCATACATTGAGTATGTCATGGCATATTGACCAACGGCACCAAAACTTTACAGCTCAGAAGCAGTGACAGTATACACAGAAAGCCTGCTGTGTTTGTGGTTATGCATGATATGGGTCTCAGTATGACCACAGGCATTTATCTGATGTGTCAGGCAAAGGAAACCAGGAACAAAATGGTAAACTTTAGTTATGGACATGAGCAGCAAAAAGTGTGTTAACTCAGCAGTGGAATGAAAAGGGGCTGGGGGGGGGCAGAAATAAGAAAAAGAAGAGAGAGAGGAAAAACCAAAGATAACCATAATCCAAAGTTTATGGAACGAAAAGAGGTCATTATTCATAACGACCCCATATCCTAATCAGCTCTAATTACTTAGTATGATTGAATTCTTTATGTAGCATCACTTAAATTGTTACAAATGGCCATGTTTAAGGATCTGTGACTGAACTTTAAATGTGAACCCCACGCATCTATTTCTTCTGTTTGTGTCCTGGTCTTTTACTCTTTTGTTTAAATTTTCCTCTACATGAATGACCTATCCAGATCTTCAAGAATTGTTTACAGTTTTTAAATTGTAAGCCTTTTCTATCTACCATAAACCAGTTATGTTATTACTAGTTATTACTAGCTAGCAGAACAAAAAGTAGGAATAGGAAAATTTTGATACTCCGATGTTGAAGGAAGATTTGCCTAACTTCACCAAATGTTTAGTTTTAAAAAAAAGTGTATATGCAGTAATGGTAATTATGAAACCAAAAAGAGTTCTCAAATGCTAGATGAATCTCAATCCCAACCATCATTATAAGGTAACGACAGCCTTTTCAAAATAAGTATGAGACTCTGCAATAGGCTTATCCTATGTGAATGTGAGGCTCGGTAGAGGCTTAATAATGCACATTATCAGTCTATAAGAAATTAAAAGTTTTCACTTGCAATTTAGGATGGTACTTCAGATTATAACTTCTAAAGTTACTGGGACTAGTCCCACACAAAAGATGAGATCCATGTTTAAACATCTATTGAATCAAGACACAGAGTAGAAGAAATTATTACAGATCACTTCTGGTTTCTTATGAATAGGAATTTAAACGTCCATGAACTATGATCAATATAGGGGTATTACTATAGACCTTTACCATTTGCCCAACCAAGAAACCAATAGCACTTATTTTATATCACCCCACAAATGCCTAGGAAAAAGGCTGTATTTTAAATTAAATGGAATCTATTATATTACTCACTTATTACTACTGAGCAGACATTAAAAAGAAAAAATGCATGTATTAAGTAAAGGTAGGTTTTTTCAGTTATTGTCAGCTAATAAAAGGAAACTTATTTAAAGCAACTTCCAGACATGCCTTTCATAGTATTATTTTCTAAACTCCAAGACAGAGGAGGTGTGGCCACGAAAGCTTCACAGACATTTTCCTGATGTAGCATTTCTGCATATTAAGCAGCAGCTTACAAATACTCTTTGAGCTCTCTGCTCCCACGCCTGATCTGTACAAAAAACTGAAAAGAGAGATTCAAGACTGGCAGTTGTCCTTTCTAGAGACATTCAATGATGAATTTCTGCCCATTCACTCACAGTATTGACATGAGCTATTAAGATCTGTGAAAGTTTTCTGAGCTGACAAATGTTGGGTATACAGGAATTCAAGAAGTCGTCATCTTGTCTTCCAGAGAAAGTGTATATGGTAAAATGCTTGTATGCATTATATATAAAGGGTCATAACCCATATAAAAATGATCTCTCTGCTCTTCCATCTGCTCAGGAGGCAGAGACTACCTCTTCTAGTCATTTGTATTTTTAGCCTATGATCGCTGTACCTTGCATTTAACTTTTTTTTCCACAAAGAATACAAACAGTGGTATATTTATATCTGATTTAAGTTATAAATTTACAATGTGTTTTGCAGGTGACAATGACAGAAAATTAAGAAAAACAAGACGTATTTAAGAAAAACAACTTCATATGTTTTCCATAAACACAAAGTATACATTAATACTGCTTTTTCAAATACTTCAAGAGCTACTGCTAATCAGTACTTCTGGAAGTCTGATCTTTAATCAGATATTCCGCTTTTGAAATGCAGGATCTAAAGTCTGCCATCGCTTCTAAAGCAAAAAAAGATCTTTAATGGATTTTCTTCTTCCAAGGCTTTCTACTTTTATGTTTTTCTAAACATGCTATAAACTTGCTACTACTTAGATTGACATGTGCTTACATTAAGAACACAATAAAAAGGAAAAAAAGGAAAATTTAAAAATGTAAAAAATATGCTAAGAAAAATGCATACTTTTGGCTACAACACTTGTACATAGAAAGATGTTTAAAGTATTTTTAAATATTGCAACAGTGTAAGATCACATACATAAATATCAAAACTGGAAAAATTATCCTAATGTTTACAGCAGGTCTAACAAAACCAAGGCATTTTCTTTCAGTAAAAGCTGGATACATAACTGTGCCAGTTTAAGATATTAAGTTAAAAATATATTTTAAAAAAACTAAGAAAGTTTTAAGAATAACTGTTAACCCCATTACTGTAAAAACACAGAAGACTTACCTATAAAGTTTATTCTGTAATCAAGCTTTGCAACAAATTAATCCCCCCCCATTTTAAACCCAAAGTATCATTGTGAATATAAAATTTGAATCAATTATAAACATAATTACTAGACACAGCAGCTGTTGAAAGAAAAAGAGGAACGGTAAATAAAAGGGGGCAGAAAAAATTTAAAAATCCATTAAAAAATATGTTCAAAATTTTAAGGTTGCCATGTGGTCATGAAAACTATAGGTATAAATACAGTCTTAAACATACATTTATTACAATACAGTTCTCTCATACTACTGTATTTTTCGCAAGATTCCAGTCTCCTTAAAATCCCAGGTGAAAAAACTAGGTCAGCTGCTTTCAGAAAATATCCCTGTTCATGAACTAGAGCCTAAGGAGGCATTGTTACCCCCATCAGCAAATGAAAAGTCTGCAATAGTGTAATTGAACATATACGTAAAAACCCTAAGTACTATTCTGAAGAGCAACAGCCCAACCATGCAATTCAACAGTGACCTAAAAAAGGGCTTCAGATTGTGAACCAGTTGGTGACACCAGGTCAAAGGACTTAAGCACATACACCTCTTGGTAAATTTAAGGCTATTTGTAACTGTATTCCTTAAATACTGTAATGTTATAGATACAGGATTTTAATAAGCTAGCAGTATTCCGCAACACAAACATTCAGTACTAATACTCAGTATGCATTTTTAAGACAATTGGGTCTTCTAAATTAAAAAAAAAAAATCACTCTAATATTAATCAGTTTATTAAAAAGCAAGATTCAGTATTAGTAAGTGTTTATTGACAGTTTAAATGCTTTTTAAAAGCATATATAATAATCAAAACCCCAAAATAATAAAGTTTTTACTTTCAAGATGTAACATTTACAGTACTGTAAAAATTACCTCAATAATATACAGGACTATATTCTTGTAGAAACAATACAAGATGCATTTAGCTACTCTGTTATAATTCCAGGCTCCATGCACCAACAACAAGTTCTTCAAATACTTGAACTGCAAAAAATGAAAAAGCGAACAAACATACAATCAGAATATGCATACACCAATATGAATCTGATATTAAAACTACTTTATTGTAGTATTTTCCAGTGTAATGACTTACCTGAGCAATTGAGTAGTCTGAAGAATTAGCAGCCTGTAGACCTTCATTCCCACTAATACCAACACCAACATGTGCTGTTTGTATCATACTAACATCATTTGCTCCATCACCAATTGCTAGAGTTACTACCTTAACCTGTTTTTTAACCATTTCTACAACTTCAGATTTTTGAAGTGGTGATACCCTAAGGGGTAACAGAAAGAAAAAGGTTTAATACAGGGCTTTCAAATTAATGTATTTACCAAACATACTTTATATTCTGTGAAAAAGTAATAAACACAGGCCAACAAACATCCTGGTCAGCAACGTGGTCTTGTTATTGCCATTTAGACTGTATGCTAAAAGCTCATTCCCAGCAAAATCCATAGAAACCTTGGATTTGTTGAAGCAAGATGTTAGCAGGACTGGAAAGACATAGGTCAAACAGCAATGGGCCCCTAAAAGAGAGTAAGAAAAGAAACCCCAAACACTGCCACTACTGGTATTAACTTCCAACAATTGCTGATTTTGGCATATTTTGTTGTTATGCTTTTTATTTTCTGCTCTGTTTAAATGGGTATTTCATAAACAATCAACAAGGTATTTAAGACACAGATGTCAAAGCCAACAGGAACAAAGAGACAGAGTGGACTGCCACAATGATACACAGCCTACAACTGCTGAATTGGAGGAAGCAACTGAACATTGAACTTTTGATCCTCCACTTTGTTTCACTGCTGGTAACTTCTTCTTTGTTCTTTTCAGGATTGCTCCAATTATCTGTCATTAAGAAAATGCCTGTCCACAGTTGAGGGGACAAACTATTCCAAGGATGACTCTCAAAAGCTCTATTGATGAAACTATGTCAGTTTTGGCTTCATCTACCACTGTGTGTGTCACACGTGTACCTTCCATTTCACGTAAAACTTCTACTGTGTATGCTGAAATTCAGTCCTTGTAGTATTTGAGACACCATAACTGAAAATAATATACAGAAATTCTGTGCTAGGACTGGTGTGTTTCACACAGAAGAGGAAGGGAAGGAGCAAACCCAAAGCAGCGTGGCAATCCACTCTTGTGCTTCCTGGCACTGGAGTGAAGGATCAAACCCTGCCCCTCTTGTTTCATGGTACAAAAAAGAGGAAATGCGAAAAGCTCTGAGTCTGCCTTCCCCAGCACTGCTCTTTACTGCTTCCTACAAAGAGAGCAACTCTGGTACCAATCACAATCACACAGCTTCACTACACACCATACGTTCAAGAGTATCAGTTTATGACTGCAGTCCATATCACCAAGGTACTCTTTTTACTATGGAACAGACTGATACTTGATTCAATTTCAGTGTCACAGAAGAAATATGAAGGAATAATATAAGGTCCATAGCTCATTTGAAAAAGAAAAAAGAAAATTTTTTCCATTTTCTCTAGAAAATGTCAATATTTTTCATTTTACCTACCCTATAAAGTTATAGAAAGAAAAAAAAAAAGGTTTCAACAACTAGATTAAACCTCAACATTAGACAGATTACTGAATTCCCAGCATATGGGTACACTAACAGTAGTTGCCTCTCTTTCCTAGATCATCATGCTTAACACTGAGACAGTGTTGTGAAGAGAAACTGGGTACACAGTATCTACACTTGCCTTTGCTCATGTACAATACTCTTAACTACTACTGGGTTCCAGTAACATCCTTGTAGCTCTTCTAGTTCTCCTCTCCTGTCAGAGGACACCTTCTCATGGTTCACCTTCGGGTGATGTTCCATCAGCTGAAAGAACTCCCAATCCTCCTCTATGTCAATGAAGTAAAATTTCTTAAGCTTTAAATGCAATAAATCAGGAAAAAGGTTGCATAAATTTAATTATGTGATTCTTCAAAAGCAAAAAATAAAGGAGTAAAGAATGATACAGCCTTCGGATTGAAGCTACCCAATTACTTTATTCAGCAGCTTCTGCAACACATGCTGTAACTTTTGAAAAAGGTACTTGGGATGAGTACAGCCTTGTGGTGAACTTGGGATAAAAGCTTCTGGGCAAGAGCTCTTCAGAAAAATTCAATGGTCCAAGTACATCAAAACACATTTCTATCATCTTTTGTTACATGTTTTATTTGAACTCTGCTGATGAGTATTGTATCAAGACTTGCTACAGCCAGCTTCTGTAGAAGATTCCTGACCTGAGAACAACTTTTTCATCTTTTTAACTTTCTTGGAACAGTGGCTTATTTCCCTTTCAGAAAATGTTATAGGGGCAGTTGGAAGATGGCACTTGCTCTCACTGCCCAGTGCATGAAGTTCATGATGAAACGAACAAAAAAAATTGTTTGTTCAATCTGTTCACTCCTATCTGTACTTTTTTACTACAGAATAATCCATTCAACATTCTTGCACACGTTATTCTGAAGCCAATATAGAGCTGGAATTCAGTTTGTCAAATCTTTAAGCCAAACATCTGCTTGGAATTAATAATATATACAGATTTTTGAAGTGAAATGTCTACTGAATGTTTGTCAGCTTCATCTGTGTTATGGCTAGTCTTAGGAAGTCATTGGTAATAAATGCTTCTGAACAAGTGAGTACAGTCTGAAAACTCCAAAGAAAGCGATGTAATTTGTACTTTTAAAACCAAGGAGTGCTTAAAATGTTTACTGCCTTTATATGGATGGAGAAAAAGACTACATTCTCATTTAGTCAGGACAACTTACATAGTTAAGTGATCTACCTTAATTAAAAATTACCATTTTTAAACTTTTTATTTTTAAGCTCAAAACCAAGGAAGTGAAGTATTTGTTACTAAAGATGGAGCATTAACAGAAATAAATATTTTGATAGAATTTTGACTTCCAAGGAGCACATGATATTAAAAAAGCATATACTAAAACAGTGAGTGTTACAAGCAAATATTGTAGTTTTAAAACTGCAGCCAAGTTTTAAACAACCACAAAATATGTCAGAGCATATACCTAGACATGTATTGAAACCATCTGACCTAAGTAATACTATGGAAATGTAGAAATGGCAGAAAGACTGCTACTAGAACAGAAACTTTCATTTTGCACTTTTTGTTGTTTCACCACAAAAATGCTACCAGTAAAAGACAGCTGTAGGTACAGAATATCTTTCAATATATAGTTTTATAGTTCAACAGAAATGGCAATATTGTCTCTTCAAATAGCATAAAATGTGTTTTCAAATCAAGGGAAGAGAAGAAAAAGAAACATAGTTTTGAAAAAGCAGTTCTGCATGCATCTCCTGCTTGTTACTTACTATACTGAGCAAATCTGGAACTAGTAGAACAAGCATGAAGCTCCAACTTGCCTGTCAGAAAGACTACTGCTGTCAGAAAAATGTTTACACACAGTATAAACTGTGTATCAATGTAATATCTCAGTTTAAGAGACAGTAAAACCTTAGTTTGAAATTCACAGTGTTTCATGCTGGAGCATGGCTACAAAGCTAAACCATAAAAAAATTAAAAAAAACCACAAAAACTTGGTGATATATCACTTGACAGAAAGGATGGAAAGACTATGAACTAGGTGTTTCTTTGAATACTGTAACCTCATTTGCTTTTCCCTGCCCTTTTACAACGCAGAAAAATAGCTCCATTTTGAACACTGATTTTCCAGATGAATCTACTTTCTCTTAATGGAACATTATTAAACTCTACCTGAACAAAGGAACCTTCCATTTATTAATCAAAAGCAGACAATCTATTAAGGTGTATTTACAATAGTTTTTACAGTTGTACAGACCATGTCTCTACATCTGGGTAAATAACAGGATAGGCAACAAGGAGGTAGTAGGCAGTAAGCTTATATAATTTATTGAAAGATTTGAATTTCATAAGAAGTGATACGGAATTCTAAGAATAATTTTGTTCTCGTACAAAATCCAGACTGACTTCCTTTTTCATAGATTCTTCTTCTAGTAATTATCATCAGACATAGCATCCTATTTAAATATGGACTTAGACATAACACAGACAATCCTAAAAAATGCAGTACTACATTAGCTGTGAGAACCTGAATTTGCGACACTGTTGTATACTGAGAAACAGCAAGCTACAGGGACTCTAGAAGAGGAATACCTTGTTTCTGAGTTAACTTTTCCTGTTTTAATATAGGAAACAGCTTTTCCCATGCTACTACAAAGGTCAAAATAGTGAAAAACACTCTGAGAACATTAACTGGCTATCCTTGTAATAGTTACCGCAGACACTGATGAAAATAACAGCAACTTCCACGGTTCTGGAATGTTTAATTGCATTTCTAATGCAGATATCCTACCTGTGTTGCAATGGTCTTGTAAAGAAAAGTCCTTGCTTCTGATTTTTGACAGACTGGCCTAAACCAAGTTCTTTAAACATTGACAGGAGTAGCTTTTGTTTATCTAGCTACCAAGAACCCAACTTCCCTTTTTGTTCAACCATTCAAATGTAGAAAAGGATGTACTACCTAGGTGATGTTTGCAGTTTTTGTGTTTAATGTCATAAAAATGCAAGAATACCCCAAAACACATAAGCTATCACATATACAGTCCTATGTATTCCTTCCTTAATATAAATTTGGAAATATTAAAAGTCAAGCCAAACCGTTTTCATATTGTATATATTTAAAGAAAGCAGATACTTAATTTTCTTTGATCTGGAAAAAGTTCCCTTCTAATGGTAAGCTTACAGATCTAATAGATGATGTTTACAGAAAGGATGAAGGGTTTGGTTGTATAAAAGAACCCCCAAACAACCAGGAATAATAGTAATTAAAAAAAAAAAAAGTTGTTTCCATCAGCTTCAGGAAATAAAAATCACCCTTTACTTTAATACTTTACTTTAATAGTACCTTTAACATTTTTGTGCACTTACGGAGTGTAACCCACGGCTTACAGAAAAGCAGAGATATAATTCTTGCCTGTGGAGGAAACTCTACAAAAGAATCCAGATGTGCTAAACCTGCACTTAACTGTAGTTATCAATTTAAGGTTAAGATGGGTGTCTCAATCTTGCTGAGACTACCCTTGACAGATAAAAAATTATTATTCTGGGTATACGCAATCTGAATGACTTTGACAGGTACACTCTGTTGCAGACTGCTGTAAAAAAATATTTTGCTTGAATGACTGTATTTCATAACTTCAGATACTGAAATGTGGTTGGGTTTTTTTTTGTCTGCTTATATTTCATGGTTGGAGGACATAGATATGTGTATTTTCTCTCAACAGAAGTTGCTTAATTTTTAAATGTCAATAAAAAATACTGTAGAGAAAGAATAATGTAAACCTTACCTGCAACAAATAACAGCTTTACATGACAAAGCCAAATCCAGGAAATACTGTCTCACTCCAAATGTCAAAGCATACTTCAAAGATTTACCATCAATGATGAGAGCAAAATCATTTTCCTTCCTTAAAGCATCACCGAGAGTGCTGCAATGATGGCTAAGTGTATCTCTTGTTCCCTGTTGCACAAAAAAAATTATGTCCATTATTTTTAATTCCTACTATTCTTAAGTCCAAATTTTTTTTTTTTTTGTGATCAGAAAGACTGGCATTTTGTTTTCTGAGGAAATTACCTTTTGATTATGCTATCAAATAGACAGTATAAAATAAAAAAGTATTTGCAACAGCTGTACTATTAGAGACCACAGTAGAAATGGTGTGTAGGATTGGTCTTACACTCTGCCAAAAAGGAATGTGTGTATAAGTTATGGTGGAACTTTTAATGCTCATTGAATGGCAACAATAGTTGCATAAAAGTCTGCTAAAAGATATTTTTAAATAAGTTTTCTATGCATCTATGCAAAAGAAGATTCACATATAAATAGATACCAGAAACAATTTCTTTTTACTATTATATAAAATGGTCTTAAATGTTTAGGAAAAAAGTAAAAGAAACATCAGAGAGAATTCATTAGACTGATAATTCTAACTGTCATATAAAATTTATATTTAAGATAAGCCCACATCAACTACATGTCATATAAGGGATCATATTTTGTATTTTTCAGTTGCTAAGGACAGTTTGAATCGTATGTACACAAGTCAGTATTCCATGATCCAGAACTGAGAACTTCAGATTATATTCCGTAGACAACACATTCATCTGTATTTCCGCAGCAGGACTTCACAGCCTGCTTTGGGAGGCCATTAATACCTCGGTAGTTACAGTACAGCTCTACCATACAGTGTCATGAAGAAAAAAATTGCTTGTTGCCTTCCTTTCTTTTTGAAGGGCATTCATAGAGCTACAACATACTCTTCTTCTATCATTTCCTGCTTCACAGCCCAGAATTAAGAAGCGTTTTAAAGGAGAAAGGAAAATGAAAACAAAACTTCTGCTTATAAAATACTGAATTTGGAAACCAGTAATATCCTATGACAACAGTGTTTCTATATTATTCTACACATTTAACAACCAAATAACTATGCTACTTTAGTGATGTCAGGCATACATAAATAAAATTTGGTGTAGCCACCTAAAAATAAATCACCGAGAAGTAATTACAAATCTCAACTCCCCCTGAAATGAAATTAAAAGATACTGCTTTGCCTTTCCCACCCAACTTACTTCTCCCAGTTCCACACGCTGCTGGCCATGGTTTTTGCCTACTTTGCTTCCACTGGCCTTCTAAAGATTCATTGGTTTATCTAAAAGATTAGGCTGGTGGGGAATTCTGCGCTACAGGTATCCTGGCTCTCCCCCCATAGAAACTGCAAGGGAAACAAGCTGCTATTGTTTAAAATTACATGTTAGAAAGCCTTTAAAATGACAATAACTTCTGTAACTATTTTCCAGAGTGTCTTCCCCGGTTAAGGAACATTGCAACGTAAAGAAAGCATCATTTTTCTCTCATCTCCATGGACTATTTAGCTTCTGACTAAATCTAAACAATACAAGAGCCTGAAAATTCATACTCCTCTCATCTATAGTTTCTTCTCATACATATAATATAAACTCTTCTTTTTTTATCACAAACACACATGCCATCAGGTAGCTCAGCTACATATTAAAACAAACAACCCCCTCCGCCAAGACAATACAAAACACTTAGCCCAACTGTAAAACTGTCATATTTAAAGTTCCTTTGTGAGCTTACCTGTAATTCTATGGTGCAATCCAATGCCTTAAATTAGAAGCAGCATCAAAATGTCCTTTATTCACTTCTAAACCATTTCCATTAAATATTTCTCAGTGAAATTGAATGGTAATCAAACTATTTTCTAGTTTCAGTTTAAGTATTATGAAGTTCACAATTAAAGGAAAGAGGCTGTGTTATGATTTCTGTTTATGATTAACGGTACTACACTGAAATTTAGCAGTCCATTAGGTTAATATGAAGGCAAATTCTTCTACAGAACTATAAGAACTTACTAATAAAAACCATTTTGTTTGTGAAACTAAGCAGATGTTCATGGGAATGGAGCCTCAAAACAAATAATGTTGCAAAAAATAGACATCTAAATGCTTCCTGAAGTCTTTCCACTTCTATACCAGCCAATGCTAACTGGGCAAGGGGTAGGGTGGGTATTTTTAAATTTTTTTTTAATTCCATAAATAAGGGTATTGGTTCAGACAAAAGAAGATCTCATTTCAACATATTCTTTGTAAACTCAGTTCATAGAGCTGGGATACAGTCTAAACAAGTATTTATTTTTTTTTTAACTCAACTTCCTCTGTCTTGCATGCTGAGTTCATAATAATGACCAAACTGAGGAGGTATTTGTTTTGTTAAATGTTTTACATGTCTTGGGGACAGGGTCCCTAAAAGGATTAGCGTTGAGCTAGCTCCTTTTTAGAAGCTGCCACTGGTATGCAACAGATATTGGACTATTATTTTAACATCAAGGACAAGAAGCATCTGCTTACTGCCACTATTTTTTCAGTACTGCGAAGAGTATGCAGACCAACAGAAGCCAACCTTCCTAACTCCTATGAACATATCAACACCTTTATATAGCCAAGACGCTATACCATACCTTGTAGAGCCAAGGACAAGAGGACTGCTACGGAGCAGCTCTTAAAGATCCTAAATACACAGATCACACTACATTGGAATTTTTTTCTTTGATGTTTCATGGCTGCTCAGTTCCTCCTGTGCTGAGTGAACTGGTTCTCCCGCAGCCCTCATGGGAGCACAGTTCCCCTCCAAGGTAAGGGACTGAATCCCAGTATGAGAGGTGGACCTATGCTGCTCAAAAGCCAAAGTTTAAGCTATATTCCTTAACAGACAATATTCCAACTAAGTATACAGCCTCTTGCCAGCTGTTGTTGGTATGCAGAAAGGAAAGAGGAATTGCATCCACCCAGCTGCACTGACTCAAGGTTCTGCAATCACAGCAGTCTATCCCTCTTTCCATTTCCTGAGACCTGCTCCACTCCGTCAGAATTTTCAAGGCCATTTTTGACTCAACCAGTTGCACTAGAAATAGAGACTGACATCTGATTCCAACCACACCAGCAAGCAAAAGGTAGGACACAAGGTATATGTTAATCAAACAGTGAAATGTGCGCCACCAAACTTTTAATGGAGTCTCTTCTTAAAATATTGGCACAGAGCAAGTTCTTTTTTTTTTTAACTGCCTCTTGTCCTCAAACTATCTGATTACATTTATCCGCTCCTGAAAATACATGATTTGTTATCACCACAGAGAGACTTGCAAGTGACCAGTTTGCATACGCAGTTTCAGCTGCCATATGATATCTGCATCCCCACGTACTCTGAACATACTTTGTGCATGTAGGGGAAGGATC